TGCTGTAAGCTTCCCCTTCAGTTTGTCTGCCTTAAGTTTCAAATTGTCTGCTGCAAGTTTCTGTCTGCTCTAATGTTCACTTAGTCTACTGTACGTTTCTATGTGTCTGCTGTAGCATCTCAACTACCAGTTTTTAAACTCGGGGAAAGATATTTAACAAATCTTAGTTTACTGATAATTTAAAAAAAAAACATTGACATTGGTTTGTCTTTTTATATGTAGATTGTTGAGCAATATTTTTACGAGATGAAAGTGGGGTCAAGAAGGGGAGAGTAGAGAATGTTTGTATAGATATTTTTTTTAAATCGCTGCTCATAACCAGTTATCTTTTCATAGATGTTCATTTGCTCCGAGAGGTTTGCTTCTTTGGGCGCCAAAGTGACACGGAAAAGGAATTAGTACAGACAGTGCAACTGTGTACTGAAACCACATCATGAGAGAGACGGTTTGTTCAATTCATTCATAAATCACGAGAAAAATGGCCCAAGATTGTGCGCCATTTTTTTCCTGACTACAAGTTGTAGTCACCGTAAACGATTGATGCAGCGATGATGATCTTTGCAAGTAAATAATTTTGACAAACATATGTGATTAATGCGACCACCTTGCAATAAAAATTATTGATATAAAGTTTATGCTCAGTTCACACGATCAAATTTGCTTCAAATTTGCGTCAAATTTTTTTATGAACGCACTATTTTGTGTGTGGTTTCTTTTCTTTTTTTTTAAAACAAAAAATAAGAATTTAAATCAAATAGTAATTGGAAAGTTGTTACAAGACTTCATACAAGAGTCGCATCAAATATATGATCGAAAATTTGATTGTGTGACCTGAGCATTACTGTTAAGCATTATCGATGTTTTAATCAAGGCACCTGCAGGCAAAAAAAAAAAAAATAATAAATCGCGAATCTTAAATTCAGACGAATTATCGTAATACCACGGTAAGAAGCACGGTGATGCTTCTATATATTTTAATTCTAGACCTGATAATCTCCACCTCTTGAGTCGGGAAACGGACCATGCCAGCTTTACCCAAAACTGTTGCCTGATCACGATAACTTGATGAGCCTATGACAATAACCTTGTCGCTGGATACATGATAGACAAGATCATGGTGTGTCATCCCGTGGTCACGTAGAAATTGTAGGGTTTTGTATTTACAAGACATTCACTTCACGTTGTTAAAAGTATGTGGTGTGCTTAAGAGACTTTCGTTTCTCTGCAGGCCACTTTTTGAATTTTAGTTTGATGCCCCACAAAACGTAATAAAATAAAGTAAGAAATAAAATGGAGTCTATGCGAGGGGATTTAAAAGTTGACAACGATACACGTGTCCTCCAAAATTAAATAAGAGTTATGTTAAAATACGAATTAATCTGTGTACACATTCTTGAACCAAACGATTGCATCCATAGATTGAAATCAATAACTGCACTTGTTATAACTATAAAGCATAACGCTTTCTAAACCGGGTAAATAACGCATCACAACTACAGACCCTATGATGTCATGGTAAGTTTGTTTCCATTCAATCACACGGTACTTAGAATAAATATAAATTCGGTATTCTATTGGTTGGTTGTTTTCATAATATATTCAACTTTGGGAACGTGTCCATTAAAGTGAGAAAAAGAAAACAAAATTAATATTGCCACGAGCAGGGTTTCTTTCAGGCATTTATTCCCTGACCCAACTGCCCCCTTCCCCCCATCCCCCCAAATCACGGAGCAAGTCACCCCCACCCCCTTGGAGAAAACTGAGTAAAAAAATAAAGCGAAAATTATAGCTTCAAAAAAAAAAAAAATAACACACCAAATTGACATTATTATAATTGAGTATAACTTTTCTATAAATAGTAGTAAATGGTAACGTGCACAAATAAAAATTTAGGGAAATAGTGGTACCGATGAAATATCACTACGCTTGATATACTTGATGATCCGAATCTAAGTCAAATCTTGATGCACAATCGGATTCTTAAATTCCGTAATTTGCTCCTTATTACCGGTAAATTCCACACTCCAGAGCCGTACAAGTCCCTTAAGGACCCCCTCCAAGGCAGGCCGTACAAGTCCCTTAAGGACCCCCTCCAAGGCAGGCCGTACAAGTCCCTTAAGGACCCCCTCCAAGGCAGGCCGTACAAGTCCCTTAAGGACCCCCAAAAAGAAAATGAAATAAGAACTGCTGAAGCACATACATAGAAGCATCTTTCTCCCTCACCAAACTGGTCAGATATTTGCTAAGATCCCGGAGAAGCGAACACGAGCCACAGCTGACCCACGGTGCGAAAAAAGGCATGTGAATGCCAATGACATTTCATGTAGTTTTCGTCGACCAGGAAAAAGCTTTCGACAGAGTAAAAATGAATCAGCTGTAAAAGGGCAGCTCCGCGTTAATATCAGGGTGCTCTATACAGAGAGTCTTATGATGAGTATTACCCAAATGAATCTCCCAGTGGTTTAAATTAAACTTAGCAGTCATACATTGGTTTCTATTATCACTGTTTCTGTTCAATATTTAGGAAATAAGAAACATGGGATAGGTAAAACATGGGATAGGTAAAACATGGGATAGGTAAAACATGGGGTAATTAAAACATGGGATAGGTAAAACATGGGATATGTAAAACATGGGATAGGTAAAACATGGGATAGGTAAAACATGGGATAATTAAAACATGGGATAGGTAAAACATGGGATAGGTAAAACATGGGATAGGTAAAACATGGGATAGGTAAAACATGGGATAGGTAAAACATGGGATAGGTAAAACATGGGATAGGTAAAACATGGGATAATTAAAAAGTGGGATAGGTAAAACATGGGATAGGTAAAACATGGGATAGGTAAAACATGGGATAGGTAAAACATGGGGTAATTAAAACATGGGATAGGTAAAACATGGGATAGGTAAAACATGGGATAGGTAAAACATGGGATAGGTAAAACATGGGATAATTAAAACATGGGATAGGTAAAACATGGGATAGGTAAAACATGGGATAGGTAAAACATGGGATAGGTAAAACATGGGATAGGTAAAACATGGGATAGGTAAAACATGGGATAGGTAAAACATGGGATAATTAAAAAGTGGGATAGGTAAAACATGGGATAGGTAAAACATGGGATAGGTAAAACATGGGATAATTAAAACATGGGATAGGTAAAACATGGGATAATTAAAAAGTGGGATGGGTAAAACGTGGGATGGGTAAATCTCTGATGGAATACAACACCATTTAAAAGAAAATAATAATTTAGAAAATTAATGAAATAAAATGAACAAAACCGAAAGAATGGGCAGAAAAATCCATCTCCCTTGAGCCACATTAAAAAATGAAGAATCAAAATTAATGAGTTCCTACGAGGGCCACGGCTGTGAGTACCTGGGGGCACTGCCATGGAATGATGCGGCCGGATAAATTATTTTTCACCCCTTTAGACATCCTCTCGAAAAAGATTCAAAAGGAGTATAATCTAAGATATCTATGAGCCTCAATGTTGGATGTGCCCTGGTCACACACATATCTTAATGCGACCCAGCATCAACCAAATCCACCATTAACGCTACCTACATTTTCGTACGCTAGTTATACATTTTACATTTTTAAAAATTAAATATCATTTGGGCCAGTGGTTCCCAAACGTTTAAGTTTGGCTGACCGGTGAACAAGCTTCGAAATTTTACCAGGGACCGGTGCATGATTTATTTGTATACTTTTATTTCTATTTGACAATAAATATTTATGTTATGGGACCGGCAGCGTTAGGCATGCTGACCGGTGAAGGTCCACGGACCGCCATTTGGGGAACACTGATTTAGGCCTATCAGATTTGTAGCCAACTTATACTAGAGGTCGTTATACTGCCCCGTCTTTTCGTTTAAAGCCTAAACATTTCTAGTTCGAGTATTAATTTAATAGTATAAACCACTGCCTTTCTGCTGCTGTGACTTTACTTACTCTTAAAATTGACATTGTCTATGCCCGTGATTACTTAAAGGCATTATGGGACAAACTATTCCTATCACTTGGTAGACAAGGCGGCTTAAAAATAATGGCCTATATTCAGGGCCCTGACAAGCAAAATACGGCGCCCATGACAATATTTAGGCGTCATTCCCCATAGACATAGAGATATATTAAAGCTCTGTGCTTTCCTCACAAAATGTAGCCTTTATTTAAATAAACGTATTTTTCATTAAAAGGACAATGGCATACTGGTCTTTCCCCCACCATTTCCACGACTGTGTGAATAGGCATGGTGTATAGGCCAAGGCCATATTATTATTACTTATTTTAAAGTTTGAACAATTGAAGCGCGGATTTCTATTAATAGTGTCATTGAATTATTATTGAAGTAAAACTGCGGTCAAGGGACCATCTATTAAAAATTTCGGGCTTTTTTTTTGGTCAATTTGTTTACCCCATACCAAAGACTTTCTAAAATTGCAACTCAAATGAGACTGTTTTGTCACATATCGTCATTAATTCATGGATTTCCCACGCGTGTCGTCGTTTATGGATTCCTCCATCCCCCCCCCCCCCAAAAAAAAAAAAAAAACAAAACAAACAAAAAAAAAGATAAAAAAAGAACAACACAAAAAAAAAAAATAATTCATGGATTTCCCAAGCGTGTCGTTGTTTATGGATTTCTCCATCCCCCCCCCCCCAAAAAAAAAACAAAAACAACACAAGCCAAGAAAAAGTTTGAGAAAGGAGCACACAAAAATAAAGATGGTAAAGGCTTAAAGTAAAAACTTCCTCGGTGGATAAAACAACACAACAAACAAAAATTTAACACCGTTTTTGTTTTAAATTAAAAAAATCAATAGACTTAGCTGTTTGAAAGTTAGCACCTTTTGACACTTTTCGTCGAGTTTAAATTAGCATGAAATTTAATTTACGTGCTAGTAAGATACCTAGCCAGAAGATCAGTTATGTTATACCGAGTAGTAGACATGAAATTCAAAGGGAAATTACTGTTAATAAATTAAGAGATTCATTGCATAACAACTAAATACATATTTTAAAATTATTTTTATTATGTAAGCTTCAAGGTGTGACGACGACAGAAAAGTTGTGATGGCAGCCCCGGCGTCTCAAATTAAGGCTGCAGCAAAATATGCTATTTGCGTTTTCAGAAATGACCTAAGAATCCATGACAATGAAGTACGCTCTAAAATCATGAACTAATGAATGGACTTATCAGAAATTAGGTTTAATTTAGACGACTAAATAATTTCTATTAGTAATTTAAATGAAATGTTTCTTATAATTTAAAAAAAAAAATACTTATTAATAGGCACTATGACTTAGTCTTAGAGTCTGTAAGTAAAAAAAACTAATTTATATAATTAATTTTCAAATGTCCCATTTTTTTTGTTATGCAGGCTCTGTTTGTTGCAAATCAGAAAAGCAAAATTCTGCTCCCCCTCTATTGTTTTGACCCTCGACATTACTCAGGGACTTATCACTTTGGGTTCCCTAAGACTGGAGGACACCGTCTTCAATTTCTAATTGATAGTGTTGCCGATCTACGATTAAAGCTCCATTCTCATGGAAGGTGCACTTAATCCTACTTATTTTTCCATTTAACTTAAATTACTTAAAGAATTTATAAAAATTCCTTTCTCAAGAAAAATTATTAATAATTTCATTATTTTATTCAATTTTGTAATATTTTTTGTTTTAAGTGACCTGATAATAAGGAAAGGCAAACCAGAAGAAGTAATTTTGGACTTGATTAAAACTCTCAATATTGAAAATGATGTTGTGGTTGTAATGCACAAAGAGGTTAGCTATTATTATTTATTTTTAATTCTACTCAAAAAGTTTATAATGTTTGCTTAGTATATTTGGTAAAATATCAATGTAACAATAACATAATGAAGATTGCTGCTTTAATTTGTTCATCTCTGGATTAGAAAGAAAAAAAAATCATTTCTGAGAGCGTATCATTACTTCATCCATCTGATTAGGTCACTGAAGAAGAGATAAAAGTAGAGAGTAACATAAAGGCCCCTTTGATTACCGTATGGGGCCACACATTGTATCACGTGGAAGATGTACCATTTCAACTCAAACAGTGAGTAACTATCTTAGTTAAACTTAAAAAAAGAGGAACTCTAAAGTTTATACTTTCTTAGTTACAAGAGAAATGAAGATTTATTGAGTCCAGCAATACTTTATTTTGATGATGCTTGCATGTAGCACCAATCATAAATTCCTGTGGTCTTCTGTATGAAATATTTTAGCATATTATCCTTATGAAATATTTACTAGTCTCTTTTTATGATGTTAACTGATAATTTAATAATTGAAATCTTACTAACCACACATTCTATTTGTAGATGAAATCATCATGGCCATCTCTGCTTTGTTCCAAATACTTGCTTTATTTACTGTCATTGATTTTATCTAGAATTTTAACCATCTTTTAAAAGGCTACCTGATGTGTATACACAGTTCAGGCAAAAAGTGGAAGATCGGGCGCCCATCCGCAAATTAATTAACATGCCCAACCAGTTAAACCCACTGCCTCCAGGAATAAGTCTTGGGACAATACCACCCATTGAAGATTTTGGATTCACAGGTAGCTCCAATGATAAAACATGCAATAATTATATCATTTTGATTAGCTTCTTTACTTTACAAAATCATGAATTTTTAATGAATTTTGCATGCATTTGATGTTGAAATTTAATTTATTTTATCAAAAGATTTTATTTCTTAGCTCCCAAAAAAGACACTCGCACAGCATTTCCATTTTCTGGTGGAGAAACAGCAGCACTGGAACGTCTTAAGGATTACCTTTGGGTCACTAACAATGTTAGCACATACAAGGAGACAAGGAATGGCATGATTGGCCCAGATTTCTCAACTAAATTTTCACCATGGTACATTTTAGCCTTTTCTTATGTAGAGTTTTAAAAAAATATTTATTATGGCACTGTTTTAGATCATGCCTGCACAACTCAAAATGTAAGGCAGGCCATAATACTTTATGAAAAACTTGTGGAAAGATAATAGTACAGGGACGAAAGCTATTAAGACAATAATAATAATAAAGAATATTTCGTTAGTTCGCGGGCCGCCAAGTGGGTGCTTGCGGGCCGCTTGTTGTGCAGGGCTGTTTTAGATGTGTGTTTTAAAAATATCGTCAATAGAGATTGCTGTCAATGGAAAATTTATTAAATTTTGTTCAATCCCAAATTTATTTGAGCCTAGGTTTGTTCTCATTATTAATATTTGGAGCACACAGAACACATTAATTTGCTCAAATTTTCTTATTTATGAACAGGTTAGCCCTTGGGTGCATTTCTCCAAGACAGATATACTGGGAAATTAAAAAGTATGAGAAAGAAAGAAGAGCCAACCAATCAACATACTGGGTTATATTTGAACTTTTATGGAGAGATTATTTCAGATATGTTGGCCTCAAATATGGAAATAAGCTGTTCTTTGCTGGAGGTAAATGTATTAGGCAAAGCTTACTTATCTTTAAGCCCCTCAACTTTTGATGTGAGTGTTCCAGTCATCATTGACACACTGCTCAACTTTTGATGTGAGTGTTCCACTCATCATTGACACACTGTTTACATGGCTGATCTCATCACAATTAAATTAATATTAATTTACTGACAAGGCTTTGATGGTCAGGGTAGTGCGAGACTAATTTCCACATCAGAGGTTAACTGTTAATTGATTGGAGATTAAAGAAACTACATTTTTCTCACTTGGTTATAATATTATTATTTACTTTTACTCCCAGTAAGCTAAAGGGATGTAATATTTTTATTTTATATTTTAAATATTAGTGATAAATTATGAAATATACTAAATTATCTATTGATATCCATTTTGAAAAAACACAAAATGTTATGACATAATACATAGAAAATAACTAGCGGCTGTCTTATTGGCATAAGCCCACGTTACGAGGCTGATTATTTGCTTATCTTTGCAACCCTATTACAGGTGTTCATAAAATTTAGTCGGACTCATTATTCAGATACTTCTTGGTATTTTCCACCTATTTTTTAAAAATAATTTTCTAGGAATCAAGGGAGAGACAGTTCAGTGGAAAACCAACATGGAATACTTCAAGGCATGGCAAGGTGAGTATCAAAAGAATTAAGATGGGTTTCCATGGAATTCTGAAATAAATATTTTCTTTGGTAAAACTGGAAATTAACTGATCATGTGTTAAGCTTATCTTTGTAACATTTTCACAAGGTCACTTATCTTTGTAACCTTTTCAGAACGTCACTTATCATTGTAAGGTTTTCAGAAGGTCACTTATCTTTGTAACATTTTCACAAGGTCACTTACCTTTGTAACATTTTCAGAGGGTAGAACTGGGATCCCCTACATTGATGCCAACATGAGAGAGTTAGCGGCGACTGGTTTTATGTCTAACAGAGGTCGTCAAGTAAGTCATTCCTAAATATTTAAAAATTACTTTAAGATAATTTATTATGACTTGCAGAAAACGTCCTGATGCTTAAATCACGAGGAGTCAATTGTCAAGGTTTTTAAACCTCCAATCATTAATAAATTAGAAATGGGGGAACAATCTCTCCTAAATAGAGAAAACTGTGTACCTGTAGTTACCATGCACCTGCAGTGCAGACTTTGGATTAGAACTGGCAAAATTCTAATATGCAACAGTGTTCTTTTTATATTTAACAAATGAATTTTTTTCCAGAATGTTGCAAGTTTCCTAACAAAGGACTTAAAGTTAGATTGGAGATTAGGAGCTGAATGGTTTGAATCACTACTTGTGAGTCTGTTAAAGCTATGCATTAAAAATCAGTCATACTTTCTGTCAAAGATTCCATTTCCCTAAAATTTGGAGACACTTTTCCAGTATATAGCAGAACTATTGCTTGCTTGATAGAAGAACCATTTCCAAATGCCTTGTAATTTTTTATGTTTATGTTTTAAAGCACTTTCTTCTTTGTGTGTTAAAATTTTGATTACTTTTTAAAAAAAAAAATTTAACTTTGTTGTGTTCCCCTTGGAGTTATGTTTCCACATTGAGTCACTTTTTCATTTACTGTTCATTGTAAAATAAAATGTTTAATAATTATGAAACTATTTTACTGTACAATTTTATTGTCTGGACTATGTTCACTGTTTCTAATTTTAGATAAATATCTATATAAATCAGTGGAGCAGAGTGTTCTTTCCTATTACTTGGAGATATATCATAAAACATGTATCCTCTGACTAGAGAGGTTTAAATTTAATTTCATTAAAATTATATATTTTAAAAAAATTCTGCATGTCAGACCTATTTTATCCACCCCTGTGGTGCTACAGCCCATGTAGGGCTTTGGCCTGCACACCACTTCCTTCCTCTCTGATCTAACTAATGCTTTTCTTTTCCATATCAGGCCTCTTTGTTTTTATAATAAGTAGCTGAATAACAAAATCCAATGAAGTTAATAGTTCTGATTCTGACCATTATAGGAATGTGACAGAAATGTATACATGCTAAAAATATAAACTACATTAGTACTATTTAAAGTAAGTTTTCATTATACATTTTAATCTTCAGCTGGACCATGATGTGTGCAGTAACTATGGCAACTGGTTGTACAGTGCTGGCATTGGCAATGACCCAAGGGAAAATAGAAAGTTTAATGTTGTGAAACAAGGGCTGGATTATGATGGAGATGTGAGTTATGGAACTTTGTACAGTAAAATCTCCCCCATCTTACCCTAAATAGTTTCTAAAACCCAACAATTGCATTTAAAAATAGTTTTCACTTAAATAGTTACTAATGTCCTAAATTTTCTCTTTTAGTTTTTGAAATACATATATAAATAAATCATTTAAATTATTTGTGACAGTTGCAATTTAATACATCCTTGGGGGTATGCGTTCCGGCGTGAATCAACACACTTCGCTTATTTTTAATAAAAAATAGCAAGGAAATCTCACGTCCCTCGAGACTTCTAGTGATGTCGTGATTCTGTTTTATTGCAATTTAAAAAAACTAGAAGTTTTTATCTTGTTTCTCTTCCATTCTATGTTTGCTTAACCCTTTACAGTCTGATGCGCCTGAAATGCGCTGATTTTTTCCTTAAGCCTACAGTCCGTTGCGGCCAAACCCGCCCGTTTTGAGGTTGTTTACTTTCGTTCTTAGCACAGCAGAAATCCATTGCGCATAACTATTTATTGTTCTACCGGAAGAAAGCCACGTTGTCTGCATTTATTTTGATACTAGTTTGAACGCTGTGTGTTTAGGGGTTCATTTTATGCGATTTTTTTTTAAGTTGTGATTTTTTTTCTGTAAAAATGGCTTTCCAAGCCTTGGATAAAATTTTGAAAGAACTTAGGCCTATTGAAGCTTCACTTTTTCATGAGTCTAGCAGTGATAGTGAAGAATCTGATATAGATATTAATTTAAATGACGCTACTAGTAATAGTGATTGAAGTGAAGAAAATAACAATAATAGTAGAGACATCGATGACAACGGACCTATCAATTCCACTCCAACTTATCAGCAAGATCATGGATGGTCTGGGAATTTTTCACAAATCAAAGTGGGAGGGTCCATGAAACTGTTTTTAGGTGCAAATTTTGCTTAAATCATTTTTAATTTCATTTTCTTGCTTCTAGTTTATTTTCTGTAAATTAATGAGATAAAGAACCTTCATTTAAAATGGAGTTATGTCCCCTTGTTTAGGCGCTGGGAGCAGAAAAGGCTGAATAGGCTTGGACTGTAAATGGTTAAGTACGGTGCATTTCCATTTAGCACATTTTTATCCGAGGTGCCAAAATATATTGTTTCCTAGTTATTTGTTCATCATTATTGTTATATTTTCATTAAACCTAATTCATTTCTGGATGCATTTACCCTTAATTGTCATTAATTTCAGTAAATTTTTAGCAGCTAAAAAAAAATTTTTTTTTACCAATGTAAATCAATGGCAATGGGGAGTTACTTCCCTTTGTTTAGGAATTTAAATGAGTAAAGAAGTAGCAATGCTTTCAGGAATGAGTTAAATGTAAACACATGATTGAAATATAAACACCTGCATTTGAATATAAAAACATGTGTCTTATTATAAATAAATGCATTTAAATTAGTATTTGAAATTTTTAAACATTTACATCTTTACAAAGACTAACAAATTTTGAGAAATAGAAAAATAATTGAATCTCCTGGGCTTTGATCACCATTTTTTTGAGGAAAGAATTATGAGAGAACTTTGGCTCTCATGAAAACAAGGTGAGTTTTAACTTTCAAATTTTCTTAAATATTCTTTTTAGTAACAGGAGCAGGCATAATTTATTTCTATTTAATTCATCAGGGCAACTATGTGCGCCTATGGGTTCCTGAACTTTCAGATATCAAGACTGGAAAGGTTCATTGCATATGGACACTCAGCAACACCCAGTTAGAGGCAGGGAATGTAATTTTAGGGCAGAGTTACCCTAACCCTATAGTGATTGCCCCTGAATGGAGTAGACATGTCAACAGACCAGTAAGTTAGGCATTTACAATTTTAGTAGAAAACTGTAATAAGACTGACTGCATCTGTCAACTAATGCAGCATGTGTCAACTAATGCAGCATCTGCCAACTAATGCAACGTGTCAACTAATGCAGAAACATTTTCATATTTAAACCAGGTCTATGTTGTTTTTACTCCTACTTATTACAGTATTTAGGGAATTTGAAAAGAAAAAATAAACTGATTATTGTAATATTGCTTTCAGAGAAATTTGTATGACCATTCGTGATTTAGTGTGACCAAAATTAATTATTATTATTATTATTTTTATTTATGTTTTTGTTGCAGGCTGCAAGTGGTGGCGCTGATGCTGGAGATGCCAGAGGTAAAGGTTCAGTCTCATCCAGAGGAAGGGGTCAAGGTTCAGGCAGGGGGAAAGGTCAACAAGGGCAATATGCTGGCCAGAAAAGAGGACTTGACTTTTATTTTAGCAATACAAAGCCAAAGTGAAGAAATAACAATTTTAGCAGAAGTCACTTGTTATCCAGGTGCTGGAAACAATTTGATCACAAACATAAGCAATTTGATCACAAACATAAGCAAGTTTTGCTTTTAATAAAGTGCAATGTGTCAGTTTCTTGTAAATATTTTCCCTGATAACTAATAATTGAAATGGATCATTTATGATAATAAACTTGATTCTAGAAACAATTTCTCTAAAATTTTTCTTTGTGTGTTACATTTGTAAATACAAAATGACTAAGATAATTTCAATGAAAATAACTGAAGGACTCGACTTCACTTCTTTGAATGTTTTAATAATATTAAGTTTGTAGGTGGGTGGGTAACTGTGTCAATAATTCATTTAGTTAATGAGTTTGTAGGTTCAATAATTCACTCAGTTTATGAGTTTGGTTCAATAATTCACTCAGTTAATGAGTTTGGTTCAATAATTCACTCAGTTAATGAGTTTGTAGGTGGGTACCTTATGTTTCAATAATTCACTAAGTTATTAATATTGTTTGAAATTGATGTTTCATCTGTTGACAATAAGTGCTGTGTAAATAAAATGAAACTTTAAGTTATTGCTGATAATGAACATCAATGTACTTGTTTGAACTTGTCTCATCATCATCATTAATGGCACCATAGCCAATGAAAGGGTCTGACCTACATACCCACATCCTTCCACTCAGAACCTTACAAGGCCATTTGTCTGTATGCACAGATACCAGTTGAGATAAATCTGACTCCACATCATCTAACCATCAGGTATCTCATCTGCACAGCCTGTCTTTTTTTAAATGCTGCATCTTTGGGTCCTCGTACAGCTGGATAGTTGGGTCCTCGTACAGCTGGATAGTTGGGTCCTCGTACAGCTGGATAGTTGGGTCCTTGTACAGCTGGATAGTTGGGTCCTTGTACAACCATCATTATCCTAGAAAGTCCCCTATATTAGTCTGAGGATTTTTTATCAACCAATTATTGGACAAGCCCTTGGTAGTGATCCATAAACCTCACTTGCATACATAGCCACTGTTCTCACTAGACTGAGGGGTAAGATTTTCTTCATTTTCCTCTTGTAGACTGAAAAAGGGGCGGTTGCATGCTCCTATCCTCTTTCACGTCTGCCATTATTTCATTGTGCTATTTATGGTAACTCCTTGGTATTTTAATGCATCGACTGTTTCAAAGCCTTGGTATTTAAATGCATCGACTGTCTCAAAGCCTTGGTATTTAAATGCATCGACTGTCTCAAAGCCTTGGTATTTAAATGCATCCACTGTCTCAAAGTCTTGGTATTTAAATTTATCCACTGTCTCAAAGTCTTGGTATTTAAATGCATCCACTGTCTCAAAGTCTTGGTATTTAAATGCATCCACTGTCTCAAAGTCTTGACATTTATTTTGATATTATGATTTGAATCTCTGTGTACTTGTAACATCTACTTAATTCATTCACCTCTGATACACTCTTGAGGGAGGCATATTTAGTTTCTTCTTCTTCTATATTTTTTGAGCCCAAGATCAATGACTTGATCATTCTGGCTCCTATTCATTAAACACACTTATGTTATCCTTTACTGTCTGTGTGTGACAGGTACTGGAATGGTGGCTATATAACATTAGGATTAGTTGTTTCATTTTAGGAAATTTGTTAAGTAACTTTGTGGACTGACCCGGTCAAAGTATGGAGCGTGAAATATGAATCATCAGTGCTTATCATCTTTGCTGTATACATTATCTTGTGAACATTCTCATATGTTCCTGTTAAACCTTCAGTCATTGTCTTGGAGGGGATTGAAAAGTTAATGTGTATGCAGCAATGTATTACCTCTTGTTTTTGCAATACATATAATTATACTGTAGTAAATCTCTGGTAGGGCAGAACACAAATATTTTATACCTAATGAAATTATTTTATCTTCACGAATATTTAAAAAAAAACAAGACAGACAATCATAACACATTTTTTGAGGATGGCCATTTTTAATGAAGAACAATTTTGAGATATGTAAGAGGTAAATGGGTTTTATAAAATCTAGTGTGGTGCTGTTGTTCACTATTCAGGCGCTGTTGTTCAGTATTGCGGTGCTGTTGTTCATTATTGTGGTGCTGTTGTTCACTATTCAGGCGCTGTTTTTCAGTATTGTGGTGCTATTGTTCATTATTGTGGTGCTGTTGTTCACTATTTGAGGCACTGTTGTTCACTATTTGTGTACTAGAAGATATGACCAGCGGTTTTAATGGAAGGCATATTGCGCAACTTTCTCTATATGCTATTGTGATGTCTAAACATCTGAAAATTCAATTTTTAGGTATGTAATTGAAATACTGAATTGGGTTTTGATGTATTGCATCCTGAAAAAAATTTAAAGCAGTTTTCCAAGCCCTACTCAACACTTTTGTACGCATTTGAACTAAAAAGAAAACATGTTTAATAAAAATTGGTAAAAAGGGGTCCTTAAATTAAAAAAAAATACATGTACCATTGAACATTAGTGTAGGCCTATACAACATTAATTTATTTTAAAATAACATACTTCTTTTCATCAGATTTAAAGATTAGTTATCCACATTGTACACCTCATCTTTCCTCTTCCTGAAATGTTTTTTTTTCAAGGAAGGTTTAAAGTACAATATTTCATTACTTTTAAAACTATCTAAATACAGATTTCCGGTGTGTAACATACTTGGGCTTTGAGACATTGCAACAGTTATAAAAAATATCCAGCCCATAATGTGATGTATCTTGTGCTGCCCCCTACCTCCTACGCACAAATATTTGATTAAGTTTAATAATAACCATTGATAAAAAAAGCATAACAGGGATAATAACCCCCTATGTATGCCACCACGACCTTTTTGCGCACCCCTTAACTATATTAAAATTCTGATGTCCCACCCTCTTTTTAAATGCAATGTATGCATTTTCTTTCTAAAACATAGTTCAACAAATATTTTTTGTATATTTAAAGAAAATGGTTATTTCTTTTAAGTTGTTGTGTTCTTGTACATAATCGGGTTTACAGATATTGATATTAATATATCCCCTACCCCAACAAAATTTTCCTCTCTTTTGAAATGTAAAACATAAAATGGTAAAAACATAGTTCAACATAGTTATTTTAACTATATAGCAATTTTCACAAAATTTTGAAAAGCAATGCTTGATCAGCATTTTTTTAAATTGTAAGTATTTTTTAACGTTAAGTTCCAATATTTTTTTTGTTTATAAATTTAGTGAATTGAAAAATTTTTAAGTGGAAAAAAAAAGTATAACTTGTTACATTTTGTGTGGTGTGTTAAAACAATTTTTATCAATTTTAATCAAGTTCTTACAAGACTATTCTTAATTTTGGTTCATTGAGTTCAATCGAAAATTTGAATTTTATATTAATTGGAATTATTTGAGATATTAACATAGATTTTAATTTAATTTCACAATTTTGACAAAATCGATAAAATTGCTTACAAATTAATAATAGTGTTAATACATGGATGATCAGTGATTGTTAATAAAAAGAATGTCATATTCCTTTTATATTATATTCAGATATAATACGTAAATTAATTGTTTAATTATTATATTAAATGTATTTCTAAGTTATTATAATAATAATTGATGTTATTTCCATAAAATAAGAATCCTAATTAAATGTAGGAATTTTATGTTGAATACAATTTAGCACCTTTTGATGCAGTGATAGGACATTTTTATATAGTCTGCAACTGAACTCAGCCTTACAGGGGACATTACCTAATTCTTCTATGTATTATAAGTATTAATTTATTAGATGCAATCATTAATAATTTGGAAAACATTTTTTTTAAATACCATCGTTTAAAAATTGTGTTTTTAAATTATATAAGTTAACCATTTATTGATCAAACAAGATGGTTTTTAAAACTTGTTTTTATTTTCAAAGTCTTGAAATTAGTTATAAAATGTGAGGTGATCGATTGTCTGTGCCAATTAACATAATATACTGGTATATATAGTTATATATATATTTATATATATAAATATATATATTATATTTTTAAAATTTATTATGTGTATTAATAATTTGTAATATAAATTTTCTATCATGATCTTCTTGGCAAACTAGCATAAGAATTGACTAAATAATGTTATAAATAAATTTAAAGTTAATTAAATGACTTATTAGTCTATTTATTTTTTTGCGTGCCTTTAATTACTTTAAAATAATAAAATAGCTACAATAAATATATTATTGAAAATATCACAGAATATTTGTAAACATGGCTTAGAATGTGTTAGAATGGAATGGCTTTCAAGTAGATATTAAAATATGGATACATGATAAAATAAGAATATAACTCCTTATTCCAATCTTATAACATTAATAATAAGGATGGAAAAGATCAGCTTTTACAATTGAAAATATTTGTTTAAGTTTAAGCAAAAAATAATTTGGATAAGTTTATTTTTAAAAAATATTTTTCAAATCTACTGCATCCAATCATGTGTATATTTCCAATCCAAAAATGATGAATAATTGCCCCTAATACATATACATAATTTGAAAAAACTATTTTATAGGTTGGTAACATTATTATGTAAATTACTAATTACACATTTTTTACACCATTAGAGGAATGCTAAGCGATTAAAATTTAAATAATAAATTTTCCATGTACACATATAAAAACCAATATATATTGAGAAAAACACATTATTACTATACATTAAAATTACTATACATTAAAGTGATATTGTAAGATTTAAAAGTTAGAATAGCAAGTGGCAAGTTCTTTTTGCTCAAATTGAGTATATGTTATACTAATAATTAAAAGACATCTTTAAAGGTAAGTTTTGTGCAATCTTTCCCATATCCTGCTCTGAATACATTACCAATGAAGACAGAATGGTTAAGACACAAGGAAAGCACACAGCACATTCACAGTTTTTATACCAAAAATGACATGTGAAGATTACAAAGTCGAAAGCTAAATGAGTTAACCCTTCCCAACCTAATGTGTAGATTACAATGTCTAAAGCTAAGTGAGTTAACCCTTCCCAACCTAATGTGTAGATACAATGTCTAAAGCTAAATGAGTTAACCCTTCCCAACCTAATGTGTAGATACAATGTCTAAAGATAAGAGAGTTAACCCTTCACTACCAGTAGATGGAATTATTGGCAACCATGGTTAATTTTGTTAGATGTAGGGTCTAAAATTAGTTCCTGCATGGCTATGGAAAAAATGTCTTTAACCCACTCCTCTCCCTATAAACTCTCTCATATCCCTAAAAAAGGGGATTAATTCCATTTGAAAACTAATATGTTTTTAAAGAAGGTATGAAAAATATTAACGAAGGTATGAAAAATAAAAAGTTGTTTTTTCTAATTTTATTGAGTAAAAAAATTAGGAATGAAGTTTATAATAAATCAAATAAAAGTTACATAATAACCTTTAATTATAAATAATGTCTGTGCTGCTTCACAAGTTGGCTAGTGTCCCATAGTCACTACTGTAAGCAACTACTGCTGATGTACTGTTTCTAAGTCTGATTCATATTTATCCTAAATATAATGATCACCAATATCACTTTCTGTAGCAATGACAATAGTTCTACTTTCTTTTCAGACCTTAAATCATCAAAGCTTGGGAATAAACTTCTAAAGGAACTGGAAAACAAGCTAAATTTCTAGCTGTTGTAAATTAGTAACAAAAAAATAAATAAAACATTCCACTTTATTCGTTAAAAAAATAACCTTGCTCTCGAGAAAATACAAGTAAAATTAAGCAGTGAATTTGTATGGCAGTAAGGTAGCTTATCGCTCTAAAAGTGCATGGTACAGAAAAATAAAGTGGAAGTGGCTGAGCCACATGATAGGCAGCTGTTAGTTTAGTATTATTGTTTAAAGACTTCTGCTCAGAGGTTATTTCCTTTTACATAAATAAAAAAGTAGACTAACAGAAAATAAGTGGAAGAGACAAATGCATGTCACGAAAAAGTTTTACATAGAAAATTGTATTATTACAATTATTTCCTTTATATGATTGAATCATCCTGAAAACATAACACAAAATACACTAACGAAAGGTTTATATAAGTATGGTGTAAGGATATAACATGAAATTCTGACAATAATTGTATGCTCCACAAAAATTTAATTCTCGTACACTTCCGTTTCCTTTGTGTATGTTAAATCAGACTCATAATGAGTGGTACCTTTATCAGTATTCTCATAACTGTAGCTTGAGTCACGACCTGGACTTCTGGAGTGTGTTGAATTCAAAAATTCTTTCTCATCCAATCCAGCATGATTTACAGTAGAGCTAAATTTTTTCTCTGCCTCTTTTCTGGCAATATCCTTTAAAGCAAAATAATAAAATCCATCAATATATCAAAAACTTCTCTCACGTTTATTTTATTATGATGTTAGCTAGTTATTTATAAAGAAGAAAGAATGTAAATTTGTGTAAATCGTCATGAAAATGTTAATTACCAACTTTAGGATGGTACCTTTTAATCAGATAAGTGAATATGAATATTATTTTCACCAAGTTTTAAGGATGTCCATCTCATTTCAGTTAACAGTTTCCATTTAGACAATGGCTCATTTTTATATTTGAATTCTTTGTTATTTTAGTAGCCAATTGTTAAATAAAATATGTCTATTTTGGAAGTAAGGTTTGACATAAACTTGTCTTGAATTTATAACTTGATTAGGAAATAATGTAATACCTATTAAGATAAGTTTCACATCTCTTCATAATAAAACAAAATGTAAAATGTATTATAATCTATAATTCTATATCTTTTATTTCCTTTAATCATCATATTTTGAAAAACGATAATACAATTTGACCTACTTTCATGACCTTTTCAACCAACAGAGGCGAATCTTCTACTCTTTTCTTCATTTCTTCAATTTCCCGTTGATATGCTTCTTGTCTCATCCGGTCCTCTTGTCTAAATGAAAAAAAATAGACATAATAAAAATATTAACTGAAAATATGTAATTGAGATGCCTCAGTTATTCAATTTCTGCTTTTTAAACAGTTGCATATCTTTATTACAAACCAATTCTACCAAAGGTTCGACGGTTTCGTTGTCTAGGGGTTTTAGCAAATTACACAAACCATATATTCTTATAATAAATTATATTTATTAAAAAACTAAATCGTCAAATTACACAAACCATATATTCTTATAATAAATTATATTTATTAAAAAACTAAATCGTCAACTTCCATTACCATACTTAAAGACAACACTCTACAACAATAATAATGCGTCATTTCTCCTTTCCCACAATACGTCACAAAATATCAAACATTTAATAACAACATCTACCCAAATGCTCTCCAAACAACACGCAATCACAATATACATTCAAGTCCTTAACAGTATTGCTGCTGAATAAACATCACATACTATTGGGTATGTTAAATTGAACTGAGTAAAGTTGATCATAATAAGCATTTCACCCTTCAACAACTGAAAAATATTAATTCAAAATATCCATACTTTTTCTGTTTCAGTCTCTCAGCTATGGAGTCTCTAGGCCTTGGGATGTCATCCGCATTGGTTTTCTCAGAGAGGTAACGTCTAAGCTGGGCCTCCCGAGCCTTTCTCCTTCTCTCAGCTTCATCTTCTTCTCTTAGTCTATTGTTTAACCTTTCTTGCTCTTTCCTGTACGTAACAAAATGGTATAGAGGCAGTAGCATTAACTGAATCATTACAGTCAATGAACATCACAATGTAAAGACTAATTGAAAACAAAATAATTTGTACAACAGAATCAAGAAAATGCTTCAAAAAATAATTTTCATAATTTAGAAGTCAAGCTTCTGACAAGTGTCTCACTTGGCCTTTATTGTTCTTAGATCTGCAGCTTTAGATGATTGTGTTGGAATGGCATCCAGAGAATTAGACAAAGCACCTAGAAATGGAAATAAAAAAATGGGTTTCATTTCTTTAATAAAGTAGTTGCTCATTCATATATCAAATACTTATTATTAGCATTATTCTAAAAATTATACCTCCCACAAGAAATTTTTAAAAATACTGGTGTACCCAACATTGAATAGCCTGGTATTGTTGAAGTTCAGCCCAGAAGTGTGTATATCATGTCTTTATGATTGCATATCTAACCAGCCATCCAAATTCATGTAAATATCGGAAGTATAAATGTCATTTAATAAAGTTTTATTGATTAAATCATTAACATTAGAAAATGTGAAGGAAATATGTAAAACAAGGTATGGGAAAACTTGAAAAATGATGCAGCAAAATGGCAAATATTTCGGCAAGAATACTTTTTCAGCAAACAATTCAGAATGACACAACTTCTTTCAATTACTTATTTCTTATACCTAACCTGAATGCAGTCTCCTCCTTTATTATCATAAACAATTTGAAGTTGCAAATCTATTTCATTTCAGTAATTAATTTGATTCTGTACATAAAAAAAAATTGAATTTTGTTTCTTATTGAAATTAAAAGTAAAAAAAAACAGTAACAAAAATACTAAATTTTTGTTGGCGTATAAGTGTTTTAAAAGCTCATTCAAATTGAAATAACAAATAAAACAAAACAGTTTTTACCCAAGTATTTTAATGAACTACGAGGAGTCAATCTTGAGCTTTGAAATGGCCAACGGTTTTCTTTAAGCTGTCTTTCATCTTCTTCAATATCCCTTCTTATTTTGTCATGGCTGGATCTAATCCTTTCAGTTTCCAAATCGAAAGGCTCTGTGATAGTTCCCTCTTTCATACTTTTGCGCCTTGCCAACCCTTTTTGAAACTCACTGTATAATGCATCATAGTCAGGAACAATGTGCATATTTTTTGAACGATGTTTTTTCTTAGCTGACAATTTAGCTTGGTGTGCTTTCTCTTTTCTTTCTTGTTCTTTTAATTTTTCCCTTGCTGCCATGCTAGGTGGTAGAGATGCCTCATAAAGTAGCTCTTTCGACCTCATTTTTACTCTGATCTTTCTTAACTCTTCTTCTTCCAAAAATTTCTCATCAATCTCTGAACTAAAAATATGCTTTGGAACTGGATTTGCTTTAAAATTAGGCTTAGGTTTTTCTGGCTTCCTCAACGGTGCTGACTGTGCACTTTGTAGCTTTTTCTCCTTTTCTCTTATTTCAAATTTGAAAGGCTTAACTTGTGATTTTAACAGCTCTTGACAATACTGTTTTACATATTGTCTTCTGCTTTCATTCCTCTCCATGATTTCCTCATATTTGGGTAGGTACACATGAGATGGTACAGGCTGTGCCTTAAACTTTTTTTCACACTCTGCTTCCTCTTGCTTCTGTTTTTCGAGTTGTCGTTGCTCTAATTCAAGTTGTGCCTTGGTTTTCTTTTTTTCTTTTAGGGCTTCTCTAATGCTCATATTAAATGGCTTAGGTATTGTAATTCTGTGTCTCCATTCTTTTTTCCCCCTTTGGCTGCCATCTGCATCAGACTGTGCAGAAGAGAAAGAATGTCTGCGCTGTGTGTATTCAGAGATTTTGAAATCATCCCATAATTGTTTAACTTTATTCAATGAATGCTCAGATTCACTAGAGATGACAAAATTATTGTCATGTAAGGAACCATTAGAACTCTGTGCATCAAAAAATTTACTCCACTCTTTGTCATCAAGACTATAAGATTTGCCCTCAATAGGTGCTGAACGTGGACGCTCTTTCTTGAAAACATGTTGAGATTTAATTGGCAATGTTTTACTGCGAAGTGGACCTTGATATACTGAGCTTTTTGGTTTACTTAAAGGAGGTTTCTTGTCAAAAGCTATTGATCTTTCTTTAATGTTATTTCCACTGATACCATTTATGCTCAGAGTTGTTTCCTCAACATTCCTATCTAAACCTGATTTGTCCCTCTGAAAATCAAAGGTTTGACTGTTACGAATTCCTTCTATAATAACCTTTTCTTGATACAGTCTTTTATATGCCTCAAGAGTTTGCCTGTTTTCTTCTTTGAGCTGCTGCAGTTTTTCATAAAATTCCTCTTCTTTGGAAATGCGAGGCTCTTCCGATTCCTTGTTGTCTGGTCGCTTGTGATATCCGCCCGATAATGCCGTTATGCCATATGTATTAGTTGATGATTCCGGTAATATAGATGAATGAACTTCATTAAGAGCATCGTCAAATCTAATTCTCACTGCATTTTTATCATGTAAATTTGCTTTTAATCCTGTCTTCGGATTAATCGGGTTTTTTACACAAGAATTTGCCAAAACAGACAATCCGTGACTTGTTGATGTCATGGTTGCCATGCTATATCCAAATCAGGATCGGGCTAAAAATATAATGGCCCTTAACAAATTATAAGATGAAAGAAACATATTGCTTATCTTATGTTAATATTTATATGAATTAATTTACCGAGTTAATATATTAATATACATTCGTTTGATTATTGAATTATAGTTTATTTGAAAGTTGTGATTTTTTAAAAATGTCAAATCAGGTGTTTTTTGCGTTACTTTAAAACGGAGAATCAAGGGAAGTAATTTTCAAAACAAACATGGCGCTAAGGACAACATTCACATCTAAATACTTAAAACTGATTACTCGCCGATTTATATTTAATGAACTATCTAAAAAGGCCTTTTTTAGTGCATCGACTTCAAAGAACAGCGATGGAGAATACGCTGATGTTGTTATTTCTGGTGGAGGCATGGTCGGAGCAGCTATGGCTTGTGCCCTGGGTAAACAACAAACGCTTTATCCACAACTTGAAACAATAATAGTATTAATACTAATACTAATAGACAGTGGAAACTCTCATAACGAGCATAATTCGTTCCAGAATCGGTAATCCCTTATTTTAGTGCGTTTTATTATTTCTATAGAAATAAAATTAAAAATTCATTTTTACCTCATGGAACTACATTAAAACACTTCAGTGTCAGTGGCTACTGTGACATGTATTTATTGTTTTCCAATTGTTTTTTCATGTATTTTGCAGTGGTTTTAAGGTGAAAATTTAATGTATTTACAAAGACTATCGATGGCTGCTATTGTTTTGGTCTGTTTCGCTGAAGTTTGGCCAGTCTCAGACCAAAAGTATTATTGATACGGTTAAAGGAATGTAAAAATAATACACAATTATTATGTCAGATTCAGGGGCATCGGCTTACACTGGGGTGTAGGCGTAGGGACCGGCATCGACATACACTGGGGTGTAGGCGTAGTGACCAGAATCTCTCTGAGTGTTGAAGGTGCCGTTGTCCCATCGTGTTGTCCATACACTCTAGGCCCATTTAATGCGATCTGTGCCAGTATGAAGGTTAAAAGGTCATATCTTGGATGGTGGACGTGGGGCAGGAGGGTGGGGGTAAACTTCCCCTGTCCATCAGAGCGTGATGATCGGCACACCCCCCCCCCCTTTTTTTTTTTCTCTCTCCCAGAGCGCTCGAAATATACGGGTAGCCCCTTGAAGTTGAAGCCATGGTGGGGGGATAGGATTTGAAACTGATTACCAAGGCAGCGTACTCACACATCATCATTTACTTGTGAATAAAGTTATCTGACCAACAGTGACCGGGACGATGCATTACGTCACTATATCAAAGAATGGCATTGTAGCAGTTTCAGTAGTGGTGTAAGCTGACCAGAGAAACCGCGAAACAGTGGGCCTGGTAAAGGACGCCGAGCACGGAGTCTCGACGTAATAGGATTCCACGAACATCAAAGAGCGACCGATGTCCAAGCCACTGATGGGCAAGGGAACCAGAGACAAGGCTCGAGCACGTGGTGTTGATGTAATACCTTTGCCTTTGTTTAACTAGATGGACAAGGGAACCAGAGGCATGGCTGGAGTGGGTCTGCATCTGCTAAAATTCCCTACTTCTCTGAGCTCCAAAAAATATTAATTAACTAGCCAAACATACCCGACATTGCCCGGGATAGCATAGAAAAAACAACGTCTACAGCCTTTTAATTTACATTGAAATTATGCACCAAGTAAAAAAAACAACCAAAAAACCCCTAATTAGTTTGTCTGCTATAAAAACACATTTAAAATAACTTGTGTAAACCTTTCGGTCCCCGAAAGTATCCCATTTTCCAATGGGATCCAGATCTTATTGAAATCCCAATCCCATTGAAATCCCATTCCCATTGGGATACCAACCCCATTGGGGGTTCCGATTCCGTTAGGATCGAGCCCATTTCCCGGTGGGAACTCGATCCCGTCGGTATCACGATCCTGGTGTGATCCCATTCCCGTCGATAGCATGATTCCAGTGGGATCCCGATCCTGGTGGGATCCTGCTTCCCAGTTAGATCCCAAATCCCGGTGGGATCCTGATCCCACTAGAACCCGATCCCGGTAGGCCATTGATCCCGTTTTCCTATAGAACCTCGGTATGATCCCGCAACCTGATGGGATCCCGTTAAAAGATTAATCCATTCATGTTAAGGTATTTTTTTAGTAATTTTATTTATATAGCTCATATAATATAAGGAAAAAAACGAATTCGGGCCGCCGCGCCCCCCCCCCCCCCCCCCCCCAGCTCCTAATGGAATGTTATAAAAAGTTCATAACCCCTTATCCTTAAGACTAAGAGTTCCTTCCGGATAATGATGGATATATGTGCTAAGTTGGGTCAAGATCCATCAATCCGCGTGAATGCTTTCGTGGAACAAACAGACAGACGAACCCACAAATTTTCACTTTTATATATATATATATATATATACCGTATATATGTGATATGATATATTAATTTAACAAAAAAGAAAATGCATAATATTCCCGTTTCATATAAACAAAGTAGTATTTATTAAAACCGTCGCCCTACTCTTCTACCTATTATGTTGCCGATACGTGTATTTCAAATGCACAGCTAATAACATAGGTAACTGACAATAATATTAATAAACTCTCAATCATCACCCTCCCCTTATTAATTTTTCAGAGCTTGAAGCGGAGCTGGTGTTGAAAAAATTGTCCGGAATGGATCTGGAAAAGGAAAGGGAAGGAGGGTGGCACAAATTTGTGAGAATGCGTCCCATTTGTTTTGAACATTTGTGGCGACGGAGAAATGGGGGTGGTGGAAATCGTCCATAGCGTGGGGTCATTTACTGATGGTCATCGTAAATCACACTCATGGTAAGCAGATACGTTGTTCGTGATTGGTCAGCTCTACCCTTTTTTCGTATGCCAATGAGCTAAAGTTGACTGATTTGCGCTAAGTAACATGAGAGTGAGGGCTGGTGATTATAATTGTATATAATAGGACGCACTCATTTTGCGGTATTAATGGTACTGGGATCCCTTTGTTGAAAATGGCCGGAAGACCAAGATTAAATAGGATTCAAATTGTTGATTCAACGGAAATTTTAAATGATGCAGCACTTCGGACTGAGATTTGGCTTATGCGCACACTTTGTGAGGCAACAAATAATGTCAATACAACATTGGAATTTCTTGCAAGGCGCTCCCTTTTAAAGAATAAAATGGAATGCAACAATTGCCATGTGGCTTGTAACCTTGCAACCCACAATCAAGGTATTGACAAACATATATGGAAGTGTCCAATTTGTCGTTTGAGGAAAAGTATACGAGATGGCTCATTTTTTACTAGGAGCCATCTACCATTATCTAAATTAGTCATTCTCATATACTGTTTCGCCATTGATTCTCCTCAAGATGTTACAAGGCATGAGTCTCAAATCCAAAACCAAAACACGGTGATTGACTGGTTTAATTTTCTTCGAGAGGATATAGGGATTTATCTGAACCAGCATGCAACTCAGATTGGTGGCTTTGACGATAATGGGGAGCCCATGGTGGTTGAGCTTGACGAATCAAAATATTTCCATCGGAAATACCACAGAGGAGCATGGCGTCAAGGCAACTGGGTTTTTGGTGGCATAGAAAGGTCCACTGGAAAATGCTTCCTAGTGGAAGTTCCAGACAAAACAGCTGGAAAACATTATTGTCCAACAGGTTTTGCCAGGGACACACATAATAACAGATGGATGGGCAGGCTATAGGAACATAGAGCAATTGTCCAATGGGATATTCATACATTCAGTTGTAGTGCACGAAAGAAACTTTGTTGATCCCAAGGACCCAGATGTGCACACACAAAATATAGAAAATCTATGGATGCGCGCCAAATGTAAACTGTTAAGACAGTACGGAACAAGTGACACATTCTTTCCATCATATTTAAAGGAGTTTCAGTTCCGTTGCAACTTCACAAAGTTTAAAGTCTTCAACGAACTTTTGATTGTCTTAAAAGGACGATATCCTGTTTAATAAAAATAAAACATTTTAAACAGTTCCATGTTTTTTCTTGGACTTTCCAGAGCATAAAAGGTCAGTTTTTACAATTGTTATTTGTTTTGTACCATTTAGTCTTTTGTGTGCCGATTGTGTGCCGACATCGTTGTTGTATACTGTATATAATGACGGTGGATGTATGGCGGTGGATGATAGATGGATGTGTCATCTACCGTTATCTAATGTCACCCTTCGTCACCCACAGTAATCCACCATCATCCACAGTCACCCAAAGTAATCCGCCGTCATCCATCTATCATCCACAGCCATCCACTGTTTTCTACTATTATCCACCGTTATCAACCATCATCCACCGTCATCCACAATCACGAACTGTCATCCACCGTCATAAACCAGTATCCACCGTCATCCACTGTCATTCATCATCATCCACAATCATCCATCTATCATCCACCAACATAAACCAGCATCCACTGCCATCCACCATCATCCACCATCATCCACCATCATCCACCATCATCCACCATCATCCACCATCATCCAACATCATCCACCCTCATCTACCATCATCCACCGTCATCCATCTATCATCGACCAACATCAACCGTCATCCACCGTCATCTGCTATCATTCACCGTCATCCATCTATCATCCACGCCCATCCACAGTCATCTATCATCATCCATTGTCATCAACCATCATCCACTGTCATCCACAATCATCCATATATCATCCACCAACATCAAACGTCATCCACCATCCTCCACTGTCATCATCCGTTATCCACCATCATCCATCTATCACCCAAAGTCATCCACCTTCATCCACATATCATTCACCCCATCCACCATCATCTACCACAATCCACCGCCATCAACCATTATCCACCATCATCCACAATCATCCCTCTATCATCCACCAACATCTAGCGTCATCAACCATCATCCACCGTTATCCACAATCACGAACCGTCATCAATCATTATCCACCGTCAACAACCGTCGCCTAAAGAAAGGGCGAGT